CATCTTGTAGACAGGCAGCTGAGGCTTAGAGAGATGAAGGAGCCTCACACAATGGTAATAACCACACTCACAGCAGCTAAGCAACTTTACATATATTAAAAATGTCTCGACCAGACAGTCAGCCTAGGAGGTGGATTGTTATCCCAATTTTCCACATGAAACTAGCCCAGGAGGTCCCAGGACCAAAGCTACAGGATAACAGTCAACACTCACCAATCCCTTAACTCGGCACCCTGCCCTATTCCAAGGGCTTTCATTTTTCTGTGACAGCCCTGTCCAATTGACCTTTCCCTGTTGATGAAAATGTTGCAGTCTATGCTGTCCAGTGACGTAGCCACAAGCCTCATGTGGCTGTTGAGCACTTGAAATGTGGCTGGTATAATTAGGGAAATGTTGAAATTTTAATTTAATTTTAGTTAAATTGTCACATTTTGGCTAGTGGCTATTTATTGCACTGTGCAGGGCAGCTCTATAACAATCCTATAAGGTGGGAGCGATTTCTGTTCCTATTTTGCAGATGAGGACCTTGAGGGACAGTGAGGTTAAGCCATACAGCCAGTAAATGGTGATGTCTGAGCTGAGATTTGAGCCTGGGGCTCCCCCATCTACCCCACCATGCTGCCTGTGTGCCAGGGATCTATCAGGGCCTCCCAAGGCCTCCCCAAGCCATACCCTCCCTTGTTTCCCCAGACGGGCACACTGCGGTTCTGCGGGACCACGGAGTTCGCCAGTGGCCAGTGGGTGGGCGTGGAGCTGGACGAACCTGAGGGCAAGAATGATGGCAGCGTTGGTGGTGTCCGGTACTTCATCTGCCCTCCCAAGCAGGGTCAGTCCCACCGGGGGCCCAAAAGGGGTGGTGGGTGGGGTCCACTCAGTAGTTCTGATGTTGCCAACTGGGTAATGGGGCGTGGGGGATGATGGTGGGCAGAGGGATAGGGCAGAGACTTGGACAACTCCCAGCCCAGACTCTATCCCTCCAGGTCTCTTTGCCTCTGTGTCCAAGATCTCCAAGGCAGTAGACGCACCGCCTTCATCTGTCACCTCCACACCTCGCACTCCCCGGATGGACTTCTCCCGTGTCACTGGCAAAGGCCGCAGGGAACACAAAGGTCAGAGGGGGAACCCTAAAGGTGAGGAGAGCCAGTCTTGGGGATAATGCGTAGCCCAGCTTTTGTGACTCAGTTTCTCCTCAGGCCCAAACTCTCTAATTTTAGAGAATGACCTTTAGTTCCTGACTTTTGTAACTCAGTTCCTCCTTTGACTTAGTACTGGCCCCACCCAGTTCTTGGAAGGACCTGTGGGTTCCCTGCCTTCTATTACTTAGTTTCCCTTTAGGCCCGAAAGTTTCCTCCAGTTTTAGGGAAGAATCTATGGCGTTCCTGGCTTTAGTGACTTGAGTATCCTCAGACCTAGCTCTCCAGTATTTTAAAAGGACAACTTCTGGGTTCCTGACTTCTGTGACTTTTTCTCCCCCTTTGGCCCAAATATCCTCAGCTTTGAGAAAGGATCTGGGGTTCTCCCAGTTCTTGACTCAGCTGGGATTGTTTTCCTCCACGCCCAAAACCCTGCAGTTCTAGGGGAGGCTCTGGGGTTCCTCTGATTGGAGCCACAACAGAATTTCTGCCTTGGGGCTTTCTGGTGGCATGGGGTCCCCAGGACTGGTGCCTGGGAGCCCCACCTCACCCCTAACCCTGTACCTTCCACTCCCAGGCAAGAAGAAGCCCCCATCATCCCCATCTCTGGGCAGCCTGCAGCAGCGAGAGGGAGCCAAGGCTGAGGTCGGAGACCAAGTCCTTGTAGCAGGCCAAAAGCAAGGGGTTGTGCGCTTCTATGGGAAGACAGACTTTGCCCCAGGTGAGGATGGGGATCTGGGCTGCAGGGCAGGCAAGACTGCAAGATATCCTGACACTCTTCTGCTTCAGGTTACTGGTATGGCATTGAGTTAGACCAGCCCACGGGCAAGCACGATGGCTCTGTCTTTGGTGTCCGGTACTTCACCTGCGCCCCAAAGCATGGAGTCTTTGCACCAGCATCCCGAATTCAGAGGTGAGCCCAAGGCACCACCCAGAACCCTGACTTCCCCTTCAGATGTCTCCTCCTCTTGGATTAGCAGGACAGTGTGGATACCCACCCCCACACCTGAGCTCTTTCTGCGTGGGTGCTTGGCCCCCATCTCCAGGTCAGACCCTGGCTTCTGAGGCTCTGACTCCTCCCACTTCTCATGTCTCCCCAGGATTGGTGGATCCACTGACCCCTCTGGGGACAATGTTGGAGCCAAAAAAGTACATCAAGTGACAAGTGAGTTGGCGACTGGCGTGTGGGGAGGAGGGTTTGGGGATAGGAGGAATGGTCATGCTAATGACAGAATCTCCAGTAGTCCACTGGGAACACATGTCTCCGAGAGGATAGGTGCTATGGGATGTGGGGATGTTAGCTAACAAGCAGCTCTGGGCAGGCACTGGGGACATGGGTAGGCATTGGAAGACACAGAATATTATTGACAAAAAAGGTTCAGCTGGGTGCTGGGAATGTGAGGTCCAGGAGTCTGTGTGGGTAGAGTCTGGGTGGGTATTGAGGGCACAGGTAGGTCTATCAATCCCTCACCTGAGACCTTGGCCTCCCCTTCAGTGACGCAGCCCAAACGCACCTTCACGACAGTCCGGACTCCAAAGGACATCGCATCAGAGAACTCAATCTCCAGGTGCGTAGCCAGGCCATTGGACACTGGGGTCTGGGGCTCTGGTTGGGGCTAAAAATAGAAGTTAGAAAAACTTGTGACTAGTCAGCTTACCAAGAAACAGTCTTAGGAAGTGAGGCCTTGCACTGAATTCTGGAGACTTCAACTTTTAAGGAGCAGGCAGGGGAGGCAGAATACCCTCCACAGGAGCCTGAGAAGGCACAGCCGAAGTGGTAGAGGCAGAATCCAGCAAGGCCAAATTCCAAATACTTGGGGAAGAGGTGAGGGAGATAGATCCAGATGTCCCCACTCCTGCATCAGGGGGTGACATGGTTCTCCTTTCCAGATTGCTCTTCTGCTGCTGGTTTCCCTGGATGCTGAGGGCAGAGATGCAGTCTTAGAGGCCCTGGACACCTGACAGAGACAGCCCCCTCTAGCATCTCCTGACACAAGGAGCCCCCAAGTCACCCTGAGATAGATATTCCCAGTAACACATCCAGAATAGAGACCCCCATTAGCCAGCCCTTGTTAATCACTGAGGCCCTATTATTAACAGATCCCCCCATGATAAATGCCCAAATACAGACCCCATGTTACCCAGAAAGAGATTCCCTGAGTGTAGCTCCTTCAGGCTAGTCCCTATCCTCAACCCCTCAGAGCAGAGCCCCCAATAACAGATTTCCACATCACCCCAAATGGTGACCTCCACATAATGCTCCACAGCAGAACATTCCTGAGTCACTCATCCCAGAACCCTTTCCCATTAAAAAAGACCCCTTCCCATCAAGTTCCCTTGAAATAAACACCTCCAGAGCTACAGTTACAGACCTTTATGTCACTATGCCACATTTAACATCAATCCCCTCAAGATGTGATTCCTCATAGTTACCCCAAAATCCTTATACTGCAATCGGAGACCCCCCTCCATTAACAAAGACCCCTGCTCTAACCCCTGAAGAAGACACACATTAACCAGGCCACTGTCACCCCCAATTTACAGACACCAAAATAGTCCTGGAAGTACTAATTACAGGACCCCCAGGTATTCCTACCCTCTGCACTCTCAAGAAACCCCCAGTGCCTTTTATGAAGCCCACCCAACATGGCCACAAGCCTCTGTGCTGGCCAGGTTCCCAGAAAATTCTCTATTTTTAAAATAATGACTTTCCCCTTTGGGGAACCCCAAAATTTGGAGCCCCCATTCTGAGACTGGGGATCCCAAACTCCCCTGTGCCCTTAAGTCCTACAGCCCCCGGAAGACCCCAAAGCCCTAATTCCCAGGACTCCCAAACCATGGAATCCCCAACCCCCCAGGGAATCCTAAATTTGAAAGTCCAATCCCAAGCTCCCAGGAAACCCCAATCATGGAGGTCCTTGTGCCTGGAATGGAGGAGACTGCAGTCAGGACATGCATCCCAGGCTACCATGGCACCTTAAGCCCTATTCATAGGCACCAGGAGACCCCAAACAGGAATGCTCACCCCTGAACACTGGAGGACCTCAATGCCCTGAGTCATGGATCTCAAGACACTCAAATTTCAAGAGTCCCAGCCCCAAAGGAACCCCAAATCCTAAAGCCTCCATATCTCATACACGAAGGACCCCAAGGCCTTGAGGGGGATCCCAAATCCTGGAGCCCCCATTTCAATCCACGTTCCGGTCAAAGGTCCAAAACACCAAATCTGAGTCACTGGCCCCAAAGGACCTCACAGCACTCAGGCCAGACCAACAGCCTGAGGGAGACCCTGAAGGCCCAGGAGTCCAGGGCGGACCTGGGGACCTCACTACCAAGGACAGCTCACGACTGCCCCTTCACTGCATGTCCCCGAACTCAGCATGCCTCCTGCCCCCTTCAATAAAGACGTTTCTATGGCTTCTCTGCGTCGAGCCTGTGTTTGGGGGGTTACAGCCCTGCCACTGGACCGCTGCTGGGGCGGAAGGGAGAAGTCCTTTCTTCAAGCTCGCCTCCCCGCACCCTGGGCAAGGGAGATCCAGCCTGAGCGAAGTCCTAACAGTCTTGTCTTCTTCCTGCGGTTGCCCAGGCTGCCCCTCCCATCTGGGCGTGGACAGGTTCGGTTCTGGAGCTCTGATTGGTTGGTGGCAGACGAAGACGGGCATCCGAAGGGTCCCCAGTGGCTCAGAGGCCGGGAGGCGCAGCCTATCACTGAACGAGGGTGAAGGGGCGGGGCAATATTGGGTGAGAGCGCTGGTTGGGTGGAAGGCGGACCCTTAAGGCCTGTGAGAGTTCCCATTGGTCTGAGGATTCCTGCGTCAGAAATGTGGGAGCGGAAGTGGCTGGGGAAGGAATAGGGGTGTTGAATTTGGATATTGGAGGGGGACATTGGTGGACGGTCAGTCTTGTGGGTGGCGGAGGGCGGAAATAGGGGTCCGAGGGAGCTGCGGGTGGGGATTCAGGAAAGGTCACATGGGGGTCCGAGGAAGCACAGAGTGTGGAGTCCCGGGAGACTCAGCATGTGGGGGCTCAGGGGTTCAGAGAAGAAAGGTTTGAGAGGAGTCCGGCTCAGGGCTTTAGGTCCAAGCGTGCTGCAGTGAAGGGGCGCGCGGGGAGGGAAATCCGAAGGAGTCCAGAGTGGGGGGACCCAAGGAGACAGTGGACGCGTCAGAGGAGACTCAGATTGGGGGTACGGGGTATTCAGAATGGGGCATCTGAAAGGGCTTGAGGCGGGAGGAGGGTCCATGGGGACCCTGAATGTTGTTAGAGGGAGGCTCATGGTTGCAAACCTGAAGTTGTTAGGAAGGGGTGTCAAGTTAAGGTGTTTAAAGGGGTTCTGGGGTGCAGCCCTGGAGGCTGTGGAGCTCTTGAGAAAGGCTCCCAGTGGGCTCAGAGGATGTTCTCTGAAAGGATGTTCTCTGCTGAGAGAGCAAGTATATGCAGTTTGATAGGCCCTTGGTGGATGCAGTTTGGGTATTCTGAGCACAGACTGTGTCCAGACAGAGAGTCGGGGGGCTCACTGGGTGGCTTTTGAGTGGCTGAGAACTCAGGTTTTAGAAATCAAGTGAGTTTGGTTAGAGGGCTGAGGTGAGGCCCTGACCCATGAGAGAGCAGAAAGCAGGATGGTAGCCTGCACGTAGGAGGCTTGATGACTTTAGCATGTTCTCCCCTTCTCACAGGACTGGGTGCAAGGAGCTGGTGTCAATGGAGGATCAGGACTCCAGGGTCCCAGCCCTGGAACCATTCAGGGTGGAGCAGGTTGTCAGGACTGGGGGTGCAGAGGGTGAAGGTGGGGACTAGAGGGTGGGAGATAGAGTGGGATAGGCAGGCTGACTCCTGGGTTTGTGAGCTGGAACTGCCTCCTCCAAGTTCATTTTTCCCCTTACCGCACTCCCACTTCCTACCTCCAAAATGGGCATTGGCCCCATGACTTCAGGCCCTGGTCTACCTGGGGACATCCTGAGCCTCACTACAGAGGGAAGGGGCTTCTCATCTCTGCTAGGGCTCAGCTGTAGGTCAAAGGGCACCACTTTCAGGGGGATCTCTCTATCCTAGGCACCACCTGTAATCTACTATGTCCCTGACTTCATCTCCAAGGAAGAGGAGGAGTATTTGCTTCGACAGGTGACCTAAATGCCCTTCTGGTCTGTTTTCCCCTCTTTCCAGATCATTCCCCAAACCCTAGTTCCTGTGTGAGAGCCCCTGAGGCTATAGTGAATATTCTGGCAGGAAGAAGAGTGCCACACAGCAGACCAAACTGATTCTTAGGAAGTGATTATTAAGGAGCTCAGATTCCCTGTGCTGAGATAAGCCAGTCCAGCTTCCAAAACAGATATTATTGAGATCAGATACCTTGTGCTGGAATAGCCTGGTACAAGCCCAGAGCCTCAGAAACAAGGAAGTTACAGAGCCCATACTCTCTGTGCTGAGATAGCCCAATCCTGCTATCTTAGAGAAAAGGAGTTATAAATATCGGCTGAGATAGCCTAGTTCAGGCCTTTGATGTTTGGTGAAGGGAGAATTTGTAGTGTTCAGATTTTTATGCCAGGTAGCCCAGGCCTCAGAATGTTACAGAGTATACTCTTTCCTCTGCTGAAATAGCTCAGCATAGACCCAGAGTCTTGGGAACAAAGTTTCTAAGCACAGACTACCTGTGCTGAGAGAACGCAGTCTGTACTCTATTTTTAAGGTTTGGGGAAAGAAGAATTTACAAAGCTCAGTCCTTGCTCTGGGATAACCCTTTGCAACCTCAGAACCTTAATTATAGAGCACAGATCTTCCCTATGCTATTCCAACTAGTCCTGCCTAGTTTGAATCCCAGGAATAAGTTAGCCATAGAACACAGACTTTTGTGCTGATATAGCCCATTCTAGCCCCATAACCATAGAGGAAACAAGGAGATTATTGAGTACAGTATAGACTTGTTGGATTTCTTGAATATTGACCATTCTAGACCTTTGGGATCTTGGCAGTGGAGAATTTTCAGTGTTCTCTTTGCTATGCTGAGATAGCCCAGTGTAGCACATTCCCTCCCCCAGGTGAAAGGAACAAGGAAGTCAGACTGTTCTGAGATAACCCAGGAAATTACAGGATACAGACTATTTACTGGGATAAAAGAAAGCCCAATGCAGTCCAGAGTTCTGAGTAGATTCAGACCACAATTGTGTAGCCCCGGTTCCTTTCCTTGATCCCAGTAGACATAGGTGAGCTTTGGGGCCAGCAGCCTCCACCGGGGAATGGTCAAACAGCAAAATCTGGGGAATGCTCTATCCCAGAGAATGATCCCACAGACACTGAGATGACCCATTTCCACCCCAGGTAAAGACCTTTATGTTGGTCTGGGTGGGAGAATTAGAGAGGGTGGTCCTGAAAAATGAGTCACCCCCTCCCCACCTCCCAGGTCTTCAATGCCCCAAAACCAAAGTGGACTCAGCTCTCTGGAAGGAAGTTACAGAACTGGGGTAAGTGTTCCTGCCTGAGGGCATGGGTGATTGGAGGATGTGGGCTGGGGCGGGTGGTTCAGGTTGGTTAGCCTTAAGATATTGGAGGGCCCTTGAGGGTTTAGGGAGTCCCAAGGGCCAGGAGGATTCAGAGAGGTCAGTAGAGGTTCTATGGGATTAGGGATTTCCTTGTAAGTTGGGGGTCTCAAAGGTTCCAGGGGTTTAGAGGCATCAGGAAACCTTTGAAGGGTGGGTGGTGATCTCTAAAGAGTCAGGCATCCCTGAGGAGATCAGCATGCTACCAAACCCTGTGATATCATTAATGAGGGCTTGAGGTGCCAGGGCTCCTTGGTTAGGTGTTCTCAGGACCCCCTTGCCCTCCTCCAGGTGGGCTCCCCCATCCCCGGGGGATGGTTCCTGAGCGGCTTCCTCTGTGGCTTCAGCGCTATGTGGACAAAGTATCTGACCTCAGTCTTTTTGGGGGTCTCCCAGCCAACCACGTCCTTGTGAACCAGTATCTGCCTGGGGAGGGCATCATGGTAAACACATACCCTCTCCGCAACCCCCAGACCTCTGATCCATCATGGGGCAGGGCATCTTGTTGACCCACCTCTACTCTCATTAAGCAGCCACATACCCAAGCAGGCATTCATCTCCCTGTCCCCAGCTGGGGAGGCCCCCTTGAATCCCAGAGGGTGGGGGGGTACAGACTCCTGCCCTGTCCAGCCCTGGTGCCCACTTCCCAGCCCCACGAGGACGGGCCACTGTACTACCCAAGCGTCAGCACCATCAGCCTGGGCTCCCACACCGTGCTGGACCTCTACGAGCCGCGGCAGCCGAACGATGATGACCCTACAGAGCAGGTGGGCCCTGGGACACTGCCCCAGCCACTCGTGGGCACTGAAATCCCACATTCTCCAAGAGGCCCCAGTCCTACCTGCGTGCAAGATACCCTTGATAATCTCCCAGACACCCTCCCCTGTCTCTTCATATGCAACCATATCTTCCCAGACACCTAACCCATCTGCTTGCAGGGTGCCCTAGAAACCTTGATATCCACAAGCACTCCAGTACCCACACCTGCTCATTGGAATGTCCTGACACCCTAGAGATCCCTTGGCCCCACACGTTCAGAGTGCTCCAAGGTCCACATACCCCATGCAGGGTTCGCCAGTACTCCAGCAGACACGGATGTCCTCCGATACTCAACACCATTCACTCCTGGGTGTCCCTGACATCCTCCCAGATACCCCGACTCTCTCTGCCTACTGCACAGAGCACCCCAACATTGCCCCCTCCCTGCCACTACAATATGTGATCTGCCATAGGGCACATCCAGATTCCCCTTGGCACCTCAACCCCTGACTTGCTGCTCAAGGACCCCCTAGAGAGCCTGACTGTCCTCTCAGGGCTGCTCATGACAGCAGCTTCCCTGACCTCTTTCTCTGAGTCATGCATTTCTGACACCCCAGCGTTCACAGAAAATCCCCTGGATACCCTGACCCCAGCTGCTCCTTAGACCCCTTTTTAGTGATGCATGCTCCGGGGTACCCCCGATACCCGCCTACTGTGCTGGTTTCCTCAAAACCCCTGATGTCTGCAGATATACCCAGACTACACCGGATCATCTCTACCTCACTCTGCCGCCCCACCCC